TAAATAAGGAAGCATGCAAATACCCTCTGGTGAGTAAGGGTAGGCAGGGCTGTGGCAATGCAGATTTTAAGTGGGGAAATCAGTTCCTTTTCTAACATGCTACATTTCAGATGTTTTTAGACATCCATGTGGAGATAGAGTAATCTGTATCTGGAGTCAGGAGAGGGGTCTGAATATAGAAGGGCTGTATATGCACAGGAACATAGCTCAGGGAGCAGGAGTGCATGGGAGGGAAGGACACAAGGAAGAGGTAACTATGGGGAAGAAGTGGGAGGAGAGCTGTTGCATTGTGGGAAATTACAGTCAATGTCATGAAACAGTGTATATGAACTGCTGTATGGAAAATGAATTTGCTCTGTAAACTTTCACCCAAATCACAATAAATATTTTAAAAAAAGGAAAATATGAAATAATATTTCTCCAATATCATGTGTAATAAATCGATTTTCCCAACCTGGGGGAAAAAAATGTGCACAGATAATGAAGAATGGATGACACAAGAGAGAAAGGAGAAATCCCAACAAATATAAAGTTAGATGTTTCTCAGAGATGTGACGAAACAAATGTTAATATTTAAATCTCAGGAAAAGTAGTTTCCAAGAGATGATTGTCATATCAGTAATACTATATTGCAAGTATAGGAGCTCTGGTAGCCTAGTGCCTAAGGCATTTGACTGTTAACCAGAAGGCTAGCGGTTCAAACCAAAGGGGTCACTATGAGTAGGGTCCGACTCGATGGCAAACAACAACATATTTCAAGTTGTGAAACATGACTTACAACCGGGTAAAATGGTCAAAGGAGCCATGGTAGTACAATGGTTAACAGCTCAGCTGCTAACCAGAAGGTTGGCTGTTCAAACACACTTTGCAGCTACACAGGAGAAAAGACCTAGCAATCTGCTCATGTAAAGATCACAGCCGACAAAACCCCTACGGGGTGGTTGTACTCTGTCCTAAAGGGTCGCTATGAGTCATAATTGACTCAGTGGCACACAACAACAACAAAAGTGGTCAATGGAGGCTCTTATCCTACACTGATATTGGAGCTTGGCGTCTTTTCTAATAACCTCTTATCATATTACCTAACGCTTCAGTTCCCTCAACGAGGGTAAGAAGAAAGGACAAGGAGTGGGTGCATTCCAGACGAGGAACTAAGAAAGCACTTTCCCTTCATAACAGAACTGATGCAGAAGCTTGTTAAGAACTGATTTAGTAAGATCTAATGACAAACCTTTAGGAGCAAAACAAGATAATGGACTAAGGCACCAGAAAAGAGGAGTTTATGTTAACAGACAAGGAAGGAAAACAACAAAAATAAACCAATCCACACAAGATGTAGGACCAACACAAACAGTTCATATTATTTTGACTAAAGCTGTTATACAACTTGTTTGTACATGAAAAACATTTTGACTAACACAGCAATACATGGATAATCAATACAAAGCAGCCCATCCTCTGTTCTTTGTTTCACTGCTAAAAGCTTTAAAGTGTGACTGAGGCTGACATCTACCCAGGGCACTAGAAATGGATCTTGAGGCCACATTTTTTTTTCCTTAGGCAATAATTTTGACATTTTATTCCCTCAATGGAAAGATGATCTGTCATTCATAAAATTATCCCATATGTACTTATTTCCATTTAGGTACTTATTCTTAAAAACAAAGCAAAATCCTTAAGAACCTACATTCTTTCAATGACATGGTAACATCCCTAAAGCCAAATGTTCTTCAGATAAAACAGAATATTTCTAAACCAAAAAGCTCTAGATTTTTAGCAAGCCTTGAAACAATACGCACAAACTAGCTCAACTATATAATAAAAAATAGTTTACATGTCACTTCAAACTCAATCTTAGTTCTACCAACAACTTTTAAACATTTTATATAAAAACACAAATTTTTTGAATAAAAGTCATCATTAAAGATTTAAACGATCCAAAATATTTTTCCAATGCTGTTTCGCAGCATTTCTCACATACTGCTGGTGAAAATAAACACTTTGGAAAACTGCCCATAACTACTAAAGGTAAACTGACTCTATCTACTGAAGTAGGCTTAGGGTCACACAGCCTATGACACACGAATTCCACTCCTAGATATACATTTAGAAATGTGCACAGATATGCACCAAAGCCTTGTATAAGAATGTTTGCAGAAGCACTATTCATTATATCTTCAAACTGTTGTTGTCGTTGTTAGGTGCCACTGGATTGACTCCACTCATAGCAACCCTATGTACAACAGAACAAAACACTGCCCGGTCGTACGCCATCCCCACAATCCCTGCTATATTGAGTCCATCATTGCAGCCACTGTTGTCAATCCATCTTGTTGAGGGTCTTCCACGTTCTCACTGATGCTCTACTTTACCAAGCATGGTATCCTTCTCCAGGGAGTAGTCCCTTCTGACCATGTGACCAAAGGAGATGAGATGAAGTCTAGCCATTCTCACCTCTAAGGAGCATTCTGGCTGCACTTCTTCCAGGACAAATTTGTTCATTCTTCTGGCAGTCCATGGTATTTTCAGTATTCTTCACCAACACCACAATTTAGAGGCATCAACTCTTCTGCAGTCTTCCTTATTCATCGTCCAGCTTTCACATGTATATGAGGTGAATGAAAATACCATGGCTTGGGTTAGGCTCAACTTAGTCTTCAGAGTGACATCTTTGCTTCTTATCACTTTAAAGAGGTCTTTTGCAGTAGATTATCTCAGTTCAATATAAAGTCTGATTTTTTTGACTGCTGCTTCCAAAGGCATTGATTGTAGATCCAAGTAAAATTAAATCCCTGACAACTTCAATCTTTTCTTCACTTACTGTGATGTTGTTTATTGGTCCAGGTGTGAGGATTTTTGTTTTGTTTATGTTGAGGTGTAATCCATACTGAAGACTGTCATTTTTTATGTTTATTAGTAAGTGCTTTAAGTCATCTTCATTTTCAGCAAGCAATGTTGTATCATCTGCATATTGCAGGTTGTTAATGAGTCTTCCTCCAATCCTGATGCTGTGTTCTTCTTCATACGGTCCAGCTTCTCAGATTATTTGCTCAGCACACAGACTGAATAAATATGGTGAAAGGATACAACCCTGACGCACATCCTTCCTGATTTTAAACCACGCAGTATCCCCTTGTTCTGTTTGAACAACAGCCTCTTAGTCTACGTACAGGTTCCTCATAATCACAATTAAGTTTTCTGGAATTCCCATTCTTTGCAATGTTATCCATAATTTGTTAGGATTCACACAGTTGAATGCCTTTGCATAGTCAATGAAACACAAGTAAGCATCTTTCTGGTATTCTTTGCTTTCAGCCAAGGTCTATCTGACATCAGCAATGATATCCCTCGCCCCACTGGTAACAACCAATTGCCCAGTGAGAGCAAAATGAATAAACTGGCGTATTCATACATCAAAATACTGAACAGCAATGAAAATAAACAAACTACCACCACATGCAACAACATGGATGAATCTCACAAACATAATACAGAACAAAAGAAGCCAGACACATCCAAAGCACAACAATTAGTCTCTCTGTGCCTGGAACATCAAAGGTAGAGGAAGATTTCATAACAAAAGGAGGAGATGCAATGTATGACTGATTGCTTCCATGAACAACTGCCTCCTTTGCCATGAGACCAGAAGAACCAGACGGTGCCCAGTGGCTACCGTTACCAAACATTTTGATCAACGATCCTACAGAAGAATCCTGATCCAAGAAATGCAGAACAGAATTTCAAATTCTCAGGGACTCTAGACTTTCTGGAGCCAAGAGGCTGGATGAATCCCTGAAACTATTGCTATGAAGTAATCTTTAAACCTTAAACCCAAAATACCACCTTAAGTCACCTTAAAACCAAACAATAGTTTAGCTTAATTAGTAAGAAATGTCGGCCTTGAGTATTATGCTCTTTTAAGAACGATCTAGGTGGGATCAAAGTGACAACAGCAACTCAAAAGATCAGATAGGAATCTTAGGGGGCAGTGAGTGTATGTTAATAGGGAGAAACAACTCAGAAAAGGAGGGGGAGAATGGCTGCATGACTCAGAGAATGTACTCAATGCCACTGAATTGTAGGCGCAGAAACTGTTGAAATAGTAATGGTTTACTGTGTATATTCTCAACAAGAAGAATAAAATAAATAAAAAGTTTTAAAAAAAGCAGAAGCTAGACACAAAAGAATACACACTATGGAATTATATTCATATAAAGTTCAAGAATGTTGTTGTTGTTGTTATGTGCCGTCGAGTCAGACCCAACTCATAGGAACCCCTCCTTGGGTTTCCGAGGCAGTATCACTATGGAAGTAGATTGCCCAACCTTCCTTCCAAGGAGTGGCTAGTGGGTTTGAACCGCCAGCCTTCTGGTTAGCAGTCAAGTGCCTTAGCCACTAGGCTACCAGAGCTCCCAAGTTCAAGACAGGCCACACTAATCTATTCTGCCCAATGACAGCAGAATGGATCAACTGGCATTTCATACATCAAAATACTGAATAGCAATGACAATAAACAGACTACTACCACATGCAACAACATGGATGAATCTCACACAGAATGCAGAACAAAGAAGCCTTCCTGTTAGAAGTGAGGAGTGTGGTTAACCTTGGAGGGAGGAAGACAATAACTGCAGGAGTCAAGGGGGCCAATGAGGCTGGTAATTCACTCTTTCTTGGCCTGAATGCTAGTTACATGGGTATGTTCACTCTGAAAATTTATGGAGTTGTACTCTTGTGATCTCTGTATATGTTTCACTAAGAAGTTTACTGAAAAAATAAGCTGCTCTAAAATTTAACAAATACATTTTACTTTTACTGTTTTATGAAAATTAATTTTCTATATTAAAAATAATTATTTTATTGAAACAGTATTCTACATAAAAGAGAAACAACGAAAATTTGAAGGATTATATATTCATACCATAAAATGAGACTATTAGTTACCCTTACATCCATATGCAATTAACAGACAAATAATCTTTTTCAATAGAGCATCTTACCTGAGTTGCTTTGCATAGCTGAGTTCAATCTCTGTCCTTTCCTTTACAAATTTGATGTATTTCTCAAGAATATCAATTCCCCACTGTGTGTGTTTTTCTAGGTTGTCAAACTGATCCTGTTAAAAAGATAAAGAGAGAGTGTATAGTCTTTCTGTATGATTAAAGTGACTTCAATGAACAATTCTCTCAACAATATATTTCTACGTAGAAAGTAGTACTAATATTTTCCATGATTGTACTTGGGTGTTTTTTTGTTGAGCAGTTTTAAATCAACATTACCAAATTAGGTTTGAAAATTGCCTGGAGTACTGAACCCATTAGTTCATGTTCTATATGCTTACTAGAAACATGATTTTTTTAAATATAATTAATGTCCTAGTGCAAAGGAAAATGTCTTTCCCAAATACCAAAAACTGACAGATGAAACACACACAGGAGAAAAAACTCACACTCTTAGTACCTTAACTATTAACCTCTGGGTGATCATTCAAAACAGCCGATTGAAACTCAAGGCAAGGAAGCAGAAGGGTAAAAGGGGTTAAAAAAAATTGTTTTCTTCAACTTTAATGTACTTCTCTTAGTTTGAGATATATCATCATCATAATAATAGTAATAATAATAAAAGGACACAGAAGAACTAAACAACATAATCAGGTAGATTTTATGCATGTGTTCAAAACTTTTACCCTGATAACAAAAGATGCACCTACTTTTCAACTGTATGTGAAACTTTCAGGGATATTGACCATCTATCAGGCCATGAAAAAAACCCTCAATATTTTCCATACTGTACATTCTAACAACTTATTCTTTTTGCATGCCTTTTCCCATTTTTTAATTTATCAAGGTATAATTTATATCCAGTAAAACACACTCACTGACTACATTTCAATAAGTTTTGGCAAATCAATGTAACCAAATAATCATCACAACAATCAAAATACAGAACATTTCTATCACCCCAAAAAACTCCTTGTGCCTCAACCAAGCCAACTCCCCAACCCCCACCAGAGGCAATCACTGATTTACTTTCTATCACTATTCGTTTGAGTCCGGATTCTTTTGCTCAACTTAATGGTTTTGAAATTCATCTATGTTGTTGCATTAGTAATTCATTCTTTTTTTTTATTGCTGAGTGGTATGCCACTGCATGCACGTACCATGATTTGTTTATCCACTTATCCATCAAAGGAAGCTGGGGTTGTTTCATTTTTGCCTATTATGGATAATATAATAAGAACACTGATGTACAGATCTTTGTGTGGACATACGTTTTTAGATCTCGTGGGTAGATAATTTAGGAGCAGAACTGTTGGATCATATGGTAAGTGTATTCCCTTTATTTCCTACTGTTCTGCATCATTCTGTTTCAGGTGTGTCATAATTATCAGGAACTAGAAGATTTTTCAGATATCCAATGAGAGCATTTGTTTTTTGTCACAGTCCTCATGACCATGGGACTTACTCTGCCATCTTACTTTGTATTCTGTTTATCATTTCTTTCTTCTTCCCTCCTCCATTAGCATTTTTAAATTTGCATAATTAAAAATACAGATTACCAGTGCAAAAAAAAAAAAAAAAATCTGCTTTCCTCAAACAAATGGGTAAAATAACTTACAAGGCCTTTATTTAATCAAATTCCGGCACTTATGTGCCAAGAATAGTGCTTGGAACGGGGGAATCAAAATGAACAGGAACCTGCAGACTGCCTTAATTTCCTTGTCTTGATGAATGAGAGGCAAATATTCCAGAAACAGGGACTGGAAAGACATGGAGATGTCCAGGAATCATGTGGATCTGTCCTGCTGAAGTACAAGGTGGCAGTGAGGCCAAGGTGCAAGGTGATGGGTGGTGGTGAGTGATGAGACTAGAGACAGTCAAGGGACAGGTTACCCAAGGCCTCAAAGGCCCATCTAAAGAGCTTAGACTGACAGGCACATGTGAGCCACTGAAGGACATGTATAGGCATGACCACAGGTGTAGGAGATGGAAGAATCAGGAGACTCTTTCAAGTCTAGATGAGAGAAAATAGGCGCTGAAGGGCAGCATTTTGTAGAGACTTAACAGAGAGAACCACTTGGTGATTGACTAGATATGGGGGAGAGGAGTTCTAGAGGGAATTCTAGGATCCTCCTAGGTTCTGCCTTCTGTAACTAGATGGATGGTCCAGAAAAGAGGAACACCCATTTAGGGTGAAAATTAAATAGTTTTGACGTGTTGGACATATCCAGAAGTAAGCTGGGAACAAAGGACTATTCAGAACTCAAGGAGGCAGGCCTAAAGCAGGAGAGAAATGAACTAGTGGAAGCGAAGTTATCAGGGATGAGAATGTGAAAGCCTATTGCAACTCTGCACAGAGCTAGTAAAGAGGGCCTGACCCAAGAAGAAGGACATAGACAAGACTGAGAAAGTGAGCCCAGGGAGAGCTTTAGCAGAGCACTGCAGGGAAGAGAATTTCAAGCGAGGGAAGGGTGGATAGTATATTACCTCCTGAGAAATAATAGTAATAGGGGATGAGTCCAAAGATCAGACAGGACTCCAGCCCCAGCGTGGCACTTTACAGAGATAAGCCACCAATCATCTCAAAGTTTTAGCCATTTGCCTTTCAAATGCAGATATAATCTCTTCCCAGGGGGTCATGTAAAATGAGGAAGTGCCATATCAAATATAAAAACACAAAATTACAATTTAATCTCATCACAGGCATGTGCAGTTGAACAGTACACATTCAAAGTCATCCTCCAGCTTGTTTTTTTATACCCAGCATCTTCAGTTTTCAGTCTGTCCTTGCACTTTGATTCTATTTTCCATTCTAAGCAGCACAAACAGTAAAAGGAGAAAATTTTCCATACAAACCAAATTTGAGTGGCGTTAGGCAGGTGGTAAAGTCAAAAACACTGTTTCTTAAACTTGAGATGCTCTGTTCTGAAGAACATTAATTTTCTCAACCCCTCCCCCCACCATAGCCACAGAATCCAATTTGAGAAACATCAATTTAAGAAATTAAGGAGTTATTTTACTAGAATGTTTTTTAATGGGATTACTGTAGAATGTTTGCCTTTATGACTAATAATTTTAAGCACTATAAAAATAAAGGACAAAAATTTAAAGTTCTCATTGATTCTTGGTCCTTCAATAACATAAACTTCTTGATTCCATTTCAAGAAATACTAGTCAGGAAGGCTCTTCATGCTACCTATAAAGAAGAGATGTCAAGCAAATTAATAGTGTAAACAAGACTGTTGTTATTGTTAGCTGCTGTGGAGCTGGCCCCTAACTCATGGCGACCTCATACAAAACAGAACGAGATGCTACCCACTCCTGCACCATCCCCAGAGTGCTGCCTATGATCCTGAGGTTTTCATTGGCTGATTTTCAGAAGTAGATTGCCAGGCCTTTCTTCCTAGTCTGCAAGCTCCACTGAAACCTGTTCAGCATCACAGTGAACAGATGGGTGGTGAATGACTGAGCATGAGTGCACTGACTGGGAATCGAACCCAGCTCTCCTTCATGGAAGACAAGAATTCTACAACCGAACCACCAATGACCTCTAAACAAAACTGGGTGTCTCTTAAACTATCTGAGAGAAAAAAAAAAATAATAATGTAATGACTACAAATCATTCTTACCTATTTAGAGCAAGGCTTCTCTAAACCTCTCTGCTAACCATTAACCCTTTGTTGATCTACTTTCACAGCAATCGTATATATTTAACAACTCCTTTCCACACCCCTCCCTCCATTTGAGAACCCTCTCTCTGCATAAATTTCCATCATCCCCAAATGAACAAGGGAACTCATTTCCAGGTGAAAGCAGACATGGATGAAAACTTGCTGAGTATACACATGCCCCAGCTACCACTGTCAACCACTCAGAGGGGGATCCATGCAGGAGACTGTGGGTAGAGGGGAGAACAATGTGGAACAAAACTCAAAATCATTAAAGAAAGAAAGACAAAGGCCAGGTTTGCTGGTCTGATAAGACCCCTAAGACTATGGCTCCTAGTTACCCTTCAGGTCTGTAATTGAACTCTTTCCTTTGGCTTCTAGCCAAACAACAGACAGGCACATGGGTGAACATTTACATCAGGTAGATACACTCCTTGGACCGATCAATCGTGGGAGAACAGAAAGGCAGTATTTGCACAGGAAGATAGCTCAGGGGGCAAGAATGCATAGGAAAGAAGGACCCAGGGAAGAGGTAACTACAGGGAGTAAGTGAAAGAGAGCTGTTATATTGTGGGGAATTGCAGTCAATGTCACAAAACAAAATGTGTATTAACTGCTGTATGGAATATGAATTTGCTCTGTAAACGTTCACCTAAATCACAATAAATTTTTTTTTTAAAAAAAGCGTATACATACGCTCTTAAAATTTGACTCTTGTTCTGTTAACAATTTGCCTAAGTATTTTTCTCTAACATATTTGTTTGCATTTCTTTTTAGTCCTTACGTATACAATATAACACGGCAGTGGTGGTTCAGATCTAAAATCCCCACCTTCCATGCAGGAGAACTAGGCCTGAGTCCCAGTCAATGACGTTCATGTGCAATCCCCAGCCATATGTCAATGGAGGCTTGCATACTGCTGTGATGCTGAACGGGTTTCAGTAGAGCTTCCAGACTAAGATGGACTAGGAAGAAAAGGCCTGGCGATGTACATCTGAAAATCATCCAGTGAAAATCCTATGGACCACAACAGTCCCATCCCATTGTGCACAGGGTCACCATGAGCTGGAGGCCAACTTGACACAGCTAACAACAACATAAAATACAAAGCAACAGCTTTTGATATCAAAACCCTATTTTAAAAATCTACATTTGAATTGCATCCACCTTAAAAATTACTGGTCTCCCTTGGGGAACATCTATGTCAACTGGAGTAACAGTCCACAAAGAAGAGCTCTGGTTGCTCAGTGCTTAAAGCAATGCACTGCTAACCAAAAGGTCAGCAGTTTGAACTCATCTGCTACAACATGGGATAAAGATGAGGCAGCATGCTTCTGTAAAGATTTACAGCTTTGGAAACTCTATAGGACAGTTCTACTCTGTCCTACAAGGGCATTTTAAGTTAGAATTGACTAGATGGCAGTGGGTTTGGTTTTGCTTAGTCCACA